AGTCGGCAATCCAAATTTCAGAACCATAAGTTAAGATTGGAGTAATCATAGATCTATAAAGTTTTAGTATTGTCTCAACAGAAAAATTTATATTAGCTGGAAAATTAGTTTTTATAGCATAATAGGCTTTCTAGCTCTTTCTGACAGCTGTTCCGCTGAGAATTTTATTTTTCCATCAGATTTAAATACAAGTCCCAAATATTTATACTGATTTGTTATTTCTATAGGGCTATGATTGTAGTAAAAACCATACTCATTTTCATTATTCGTACTTAGAGAAAAAATCATAACATTTGTTTTTTCCATGTTCAAACATAATTTCCATTCATGACAATATTTACTTAAAATATCTATACATTTCTGTAAACCAATAGGTGTCTCCAATACAACAATAAGATCATCAACAAAAAACATGTGGTTAATAGGTAATGAATCTAAATGAGCTGGATCTGTGGCTGTATTATTGAAATATTTTAAAAAATCATCAATAAAAATATTGAAAAGTGTTGGACTCAGGTTATCACCTTGTTTCACTCCTCTATTTGCTAAAAATTCTTCACTCATTTGATTGTCCTTTTTACAGGTTTACAGGAGTAATAAGTATTTGAATATATATTGTATAAAAGTTTCAAAAAATTGCCACCAATGCCTTTTTTTTATTAATTTTATATAAAAGTGCAGATTTCCAAACAGTGTCGAAGGCTTTGGAAAAGTCTACAAAGCAGGCAAATAGTTTCTTTTTCTTTTTAAATGTATATTTGCTATTAAATATAAGTGTTCTTAAAACAAAGATATTGTCCGTAGTTCTATGGGTTTTTTTTCTAAAATCCGACTGATATGGACTGAGAAGATTATTAGATTCAAGATAGTAATTTAAACGTTGTTGTAAAATTCCAGTAAAGAGTTTCCCAAGACAACTTGTAACACTAAGACCTCTGTAATTGTTTGTATCGTTTGGATCACCACTTTTGTAAAGTGATGTAATAAGTGATGTACTAATTAGTTAAGATGTGATACCTCCTTAATGTTTAAATGATTACTCAGTTTTAATTAAAAACAGTTAAATATAGTCCTTGGTGATTGAAATTCCCAACTATAAAAAAACTGCCTGGCCGATACGTATTGAAAATATTTTTTTTTTTTGATACGATACATTCTTGAATATCGATTCGTATCGTTATATTGATTATTGACCCAGTCCTAATCAGGACTATTCATGATGATTGTTATCTACATCCACATCTCCATAGTACATCGTTCCATCAAACCTGATGATTATACGCTGGCCCTGCGCAAACGGACCTTTAAATTTAATTTAATGGGAATCTGTCAGCAAGTAATGAGTTGGAAAGGAGGCAAGCAACATTATTTCATGAGAAATAATTTACTATAGCCCTGGTTCTCACATGAAACACTGCCGTCTATTTGGGTTTTTTTTAACATTCTTCAGTAAAATTTCGTCTCAAGACATTCCAGTCCCAGTATTGGCATTGAAAAAAAAAAATGTCGGTTTCCATTAAAGTGAGTTAAAGAGTTAAAATCTAAAATTGAAAGCGTTGGTGATCTGGCATGTTGAACAGTTGAGGAAACATTTTCTAGTACTTACGTCAGTTTTTGTAGATTACATTACGAGTTGTGCAAAAAAGATTTTGATAAATCTTTTCATGATATGATGTTTATAGAGAAATTCTAGGGTATAAAAAAGTGGCTATGAATAGCAAAGCTCTTTTTCGTGCAATTTGAAATGCTTTAATTCAGTTTGATGTGAACAGTGCTTTTAATCGCTTTTCAAAGAGTGAATACTTATCTTCCTCTTTTTCACGATGTTGAAGTCTTTGCTTTATTGATCCACCATCTCTATACAAGTTTCCTTTTTTCTGTTATTCTAGTTAACTCTTGACAACTGAAAGAGTATACATGAATTAGATCTTATCACAGTTTTGGATAAAGAAATACTCCAAATCGTCATCTAAATTCAAATAAATGTTATTATATAGTTTGATAAAATATCATTCAAAAGGAAAAACACTTACTTATTTATCTTCAATAAAAATGCTGCATGCGTTGTGATGCGAGATGTAACGAAACGTCATAACCATTGTGACGTTTTATTCCTTTATGACGTCATTAGCAGCACATTCGGAACTTCACAAACATTTCATTAAAAAGACCAAAAGCTGTTCCAAATGGGCGCACTTGTTTCAGACATCCGGGCGATGACCCGGTTCACTTTTATCACATGACATACTGACCCGGTTAGTGTCGCTGAAACGAGTGAAAATTCAGCCGAAAAATGGCTGCTACTGTTATGGGTGCTGTTTCTGCAATATATAATTTTCTCTGAACGGACGAGGCCAACGATTTAGTGGATATATTTGCATTTTAGTATTTTCTAGATCAATTCAATGCACAATCTGTTGATTTGTAGTACAGGGCCTCGTTACAAACAAAACTGAAAAGTGACTTTAAAATTATAAAAAGGAAGTGTTGGTCGTGCAAATATAAACGAACATTTCGTAAAAGTTACTTATTACCTCAGTAGTGTATGTTTATTAAAATTGAAACTACTGCAAATGATAAAAAACGAATATTTCACCACCAAGAAAATTTCTACCTCCGTTTTCCGCCATATTGCTTTTCATCTGGCCGCTCGAAATTTTTCGGGCGATCCGGGCTACTTTCTAACCGCCCGGCGGCTTATAAATATTTGAAACAAGTTACTTGCCCGCTTCCGGAAGTATCAACCGGCTTGACCCGGCTTATGAAACAAGTGCGCCCAATGACTAGACATAACCGGTATGAAAAAGTTTTGCCGACTCCATTAGGCCCTTAAGGCTTTGACATGGTAAACAGAGTATACGTCTCTGGAAGTCCGCATAGAAAATATGCAAGATTCCATGCAATTTCTTAAATTCATCAAAAGAATTTGTTTAAGCCAAGGGGGAAGGGGGGGGTATTTTTTCCTGGTACAGAAACTCTATTTATTTCACCTCGTTTCAGTTCTGTATTAGGGACCAGGCAAAATTTGTCACAATGATGGGACCGGTACAAAACAAATTCTCATTTAAAAAAATTACGTGTCCCATGGCTTTCATATTGAAAAAAAAATATTTGTCCCCTGCCTTTAGACTTTAAAAAAAGTTACTGTCCCATGGTTATATCTTGATGTTCGTGAGATTATTGCAACCATAAAAACCCAAAAAGCACAATTTTAACAATTAATTTTATATATTAACCAAAGGAGTCTTTCAGATTACAATTATTTCAAACATTGATGAAAGTTTAGTTCAAAATATATTTTTTTCATTATAAATGAATTGGATTGAACAGCAGGCATAAATGCCTAAAATCATTCTATTTTAGAGATGTTACTCTAGAATTTGTTAGGAGTATATTTTGAATGATTTGTTGAAATAATTTGTTTGTTCATAACTCTTATTTTTTAATTTGTTTGTTAATTTGTTAATTTTTGCATGCAGCATAATATGGATTTCAGATTTACATAAAAAAAACTTTAAATGTCTGTGTATCTTTGCCAGTAGTGACTTTCGTAATTGATGGTAAACAAAAAAAAAGGTTTCAAATTGTTAAAACTCTTATCTTCAAATGCTTCCTTCAAAGTCAGTAAGGCAGTAATAGGTTTCCCCTGATCCACTGGTAATAGTAGGAACTAGATCTTAAATTTCTAAATGCACCTCCCATCGGATTTATTAAAAACAGAATGGTGAAGAACAATATATTCAAATAGACTTGATCAATATAAATAAATCAGATCACTCGCATGTCCCTGGAGATCAATATTGATGAAAACTAACATGACTGATTGACAAACTGATGATATTAAAAATCATTGATTATTGTGTAATTATCCTATACCCAAAACAGAGCAAGTCATTGTGTAAATTGATACTTGTCTTAATAAGCAGCACTAAAGAATTAAACACAAGCTCAAATGTCTTGGGGGGGGGGGGGAGGGACTCAAGTTCTTTACAGCATATTTGGTGTTTGAATGAAAATGACATTAAAGTAAGTTGGAACACTGCAGACATTTATATGAAAGCAATCACACTCTCAGTGCAAGGTCCAATTCATTAAACCCTTCCACTATTGATTTTTGCAATCCAGATTTGAAACAATAATGTTAACTCATATTAAACATGTGAAAGCAATATACTGTATAATATTATCTTGCATAATTGCTTGTAAACAAGTGTTCTCACTTACTTAACACATTTCAAGTCAATAACATTGCATTATCTAGCAACCTAATGACACATAATTAATTCATCTTCAAGACCCTTCTGAAACTGAAAAACACTTCCTATTATTTGTTTGACTTATTGTTGAAAATTATCATGAATAAGAAAAGATTGAAAAAAATGTTTGTATTTTAGTGAAAAATAATCATTAAAGAGGCAAGTAAAAAACAATATAAACTTTTATTCAAATAACACAGTCAACATAATTACACAGAACATCAACATTGAGCTATAAAAACTAGGACGGAAATAATACAAAATCAGTTTAGTAAACATTCATTATCTTGCAGCTTACCTTTAAAAAAAAAACCTTTGTGTGTAGTTTTTTTTTCACTAAAAATCAAACTTGTGTGGAGATGAGGATAAAAATATTTCCAAGTACAACTGGCTACAGTGTATAATATAGTCTTACTGCATGATTCTCTTGTATGCATTATTAGTCTTTACATTATTACTGTGTAAATTAATTACAAAAAATATCAAATTAAAACACAAAAACTCCATTGTAATGAGTTTTAACAAAATGTTTCTTCAAACCTTTTATGGCTTTAAATCACTTATTGCTGACTGAAAGCTAATTAAAAGGATATAATAATTTTTTTTTAATTCCTGGAGAAAACTAATTTTCTTTAGAAGATGTGATCAATAGTGCATCTAAAAATAGATTTATTAAAACAATGATCATCAATCTTTTCATAAGTAATATTCAAACATAAAAAAGTTTGATTGAACCATAATTATTTCCTTATAACCAAAATGTAGGCCTTCGAAAAAGCTGTTTTTTATTGTTATTTTTAATGTTATTTCAAAGTAAGAATAATGACAATATCATAAACAAAGTAACAACACTAATGAAATACAACAATAACTTAATAATTAGTTTTTACAATAAAGTTCTGAATGTCAATTTCAGTTTCAATAAAAAAAAAGGAACAAATGATGGAATGTTTTATGTGATGGAAATGCATTTTCATTTTCAAAACTCTCTCTTCATTTCAGTAATGAGTCGTTTATAAACATTTTGCCAGAAGCATTATTGCGTCTAATTATAAAAATTTACAAGCCATAGAAGAAAATAATTTTCTTAATCAGCATAAATTTTCATTTATGGTAGTATTCTGAAATGCAAACATATCTGAGGAACCAGAAATACAAGAATGAAAAAAATATGGGAATAAACTTATGAAAATTATCAAGAGACAGTAATTATGCATAAAGCTTCATCTGACTTTGGACATCTTCGAGACTGCTAATGCCAAATCTGTCACTCTCTGTCTGCATCAACTCGAATATCGACTGGAGTTGTCTCCTCTGAACTTCTCTTTCCTCCTCAATCTGCTCCTCGGTGAGATCTTTGTTGAATTTCTTTGCAGTCACTCTCTGTTTGGCCTTTTTCACTTCACTCTGTATGTGTTCACAGTAGGTGAGGGGGTCCATCTCTGGTTGAAGGTTTGAAGAAATCAGAGGGGCATCTCCATCTGTAAAAATTAAGTGATAATTGCTGCTAATTTCCGACTGCGTCTGGGAAATAAGAGAGAAGTTTACTTGTTCAATTATTGGATAATTAATCACACATATATACAAAGAAAAATTACCTCCAACTTCCCCAGGAGCAACATCATCTTCGGCTACTTGAGACTGGTCAGTGTGCGTTTTCTGTTGTGAATGTGTAGCTTTCTCGTCCATTTTCTTCTCATTCACGGACTGTGGGCGTTGATTGTTTTGCAGAAACCTTTTGTATGTAAAAATAACTGAAAGAATTAGGACTAAAGCAGTAAATCCTACTGACAAGGGATAAAAATAAGGAGATGACTTCGACACAAGCTGCTCCATTGTGGAGAAAGCATCCATTTGGTTGCTGAAAAATGAAAGCGCTTACGTCACATTGACGCAAGCGTCTACTTGACAAAGACAAAAATGTCTGCGCCCATGACTGGTGAGTTGCCATTACTTCTTCAATTATATTTCTCTAAAGTGTGCTGTTATATAGTATGTTTAATATATATAATATATATCACGCAATTTAAGTTCAAGTGCTCAAAGATATTTTTCATATTTCTTCAGACTTAATGTATTTTAACGACTTGTAACATGTCTTAGACTTATATCTGCTTCAGAGTACTGGAAAAGTACCAAACTTTTTCTCCAAATTTAATATTTCCCTTCTAAATGTATTGTTTTCTTAAACCATGTAAATGGGTTTACGCTGAGTATTTTGTTTGTTTTTCGAATGGTCTAATTTCTCAGTTTTAGACTTTGTTTGTTTGTTTTGTTTTGTTTTTTAAATACATTTCTTTCATTAAATTTAGATGATTTAAAGGAAAAACACCTTTATTTCATGTAACTAAAGGATACTTTCAGAACCATGCTCTAAAAGGGCATATTATTGCACTGATATATATTTTTACTATATATATTTTTAATATTATTTTTATCATTTCAAGTGCATTGTTAAGGACTCAGTTATTTGGGATTTTATTCATCTTTGTTATATTTCATAGATATAATTAATATGATTCTCCAGTAAGAATCTTAAGTTTTATTAATGAATTCTAGAGAGTGCTGTTGACCACTTGTCTGCAGTTCGACATGTCATACTGGTTTTGTCTGGGAAGGGTGGAGTTGGGAAAAGTACAGTTGCCACACAAATAGCTTTAGGTCTCAGGCATGCTGGAAAGAAGGTGAGAACTGAACTGTTGTTATGACATGTGACAATAATGCATAATAAGCTTTACAATAAACATGTTTTTTTTTTTTTTTTTTGTTATAGGTTGGTTTACTTGATGTTGACTTGTGTGGTCCCAGTATCCCTCGTATGTTTAATGTCCATCAACAAGATGTGCATCAGTGTACAGAGGGGTAAGAAAACAGGATGAAAAATTTATTTTTTGTAAAAGTTAAAACGTTCTCTGTTGCAGTTTGGAACATATAATGCAGTCTCTATAAAAACTAGAGACATAATGATTAAGACAGAAGTAAATTTCAGTAACAAGATTTGTTTAAATGATTGGGCTTGCATCATTCTTGTAAATTCAGATCTTTATTGAGTGAAGGTCCATAACAAATAAAGATAAGAATACATGTGGTGTATTGATTATGATCAGGTGGCTTCCAGTTTTTGTTGACAAGGAACAAAAACTTGCATTGATGTCAATAGGCTTTTTGGTTGAAAATGCTCAAGATGCTATCATTTGGAGAGGACCAAAGAAAACAGGTATGTCATTTTAAAAAGAATCTATAAATTAGTTTTCAGTGAGTATAAAAAAATACATGTATTATATTTCTTTCATAATCAAATGTTATATGTATTTTCATGCAGTTGACAGAACACCATGCTGTATAAACCAAAAATTTCAAAATGATTTAAATTTGTATTAAATAAGCTTATGAAAACAGATAAGTTATGATAGATACGAGGGTTGTTCGGAAAAATCGTGGACTACCGTCATAACTATTTTACTTAATGTCATATTATATCCAAATTTGGAAGAAATACTTCAACAGTAAATTCATATGATGAGTATTAAAAAAATTTAAAATATCATGTTTTATTTTAAACTTATTTAAACTTTAAAAATGCAAAAATCGGATCACGGAGCAGGTCAAAATTTTGTAATTTACAATCAAGACACTAAATAATGTCTGATGTCATATCTTTTGTAAAATGACACAAAAACAAAAAATTCTACACGTTCAAATTAAGAATTGTTTCATCGTTTCTGATTCCAAATAAGGATTTACGTTGAAAAGAAATCAGTTTCAGAAGATAGGTATTCCTCATTGAAAAAGGCAAAAAAGATGACATCATAGAACGTCACGGAGCAGCAGTTAACCATACAAATTTGTATTGTACTCTGGAGAACTTCAGAAAAAACTCTGAAAATGCCGGAGGAAGTAGGAAATATGTCAAAAGCGAGCCATTCATGTGTGTGTACATGGTACAAGCGGTATTTGAATGATAGAATACTCTTCTTAGACAATGGTGTGTGAGAAAATGGATTATCTGTAAAAATCTTATCAAGACCATTAAAAAGTTAGTAACGTCATGCTAAGAGTTTGGCACTTCACAGATACTGATCTTGTGAATGCACACTTATGCAGTGAAAAAAAATATAATATTGACAAACAAAATGATGCTACTGAAACAATTGTTTGCAAAATAGATTTCAAGTGATAGAGAAACGTTTTTAATGAGTGCACTGGTATTGGGCAATGCTGTGTGAAATGTATAGGGAGAGTATTTTTGAGAACCACATGTCGGTATGTTTTTGACGTTACTGTGTTGTTGAGTTTGCTCCATGGTTACAATACGTGATGATTTTAAAATTAAATATCATGAATTCTATTAAATCACATGGAATGAAACTTCACACTTAAACAAATTAAATATTTTTACATATGATAATGTGCTCATTTTAAATTTCTTGAAGATAGTATAACGAAGACTGGCATAATCAACGAACTTTCCAAACAACCCTTGTATATATGTACATGTAGTAATAATTTTAAAAAGCTAAAAATTTTCAAGAAATTTTATTTTTTAATTACAGCAATGATTAAACAGTTTCTAAGGGATGTTGTTTGGAGAGATATAGATTACTTAATCATTGACACACCTCCAGGAACAACAGATGAACACATCAGTGCTATTGAGAACCTGAAAACATACAATCCTGACGGAGCAATACTGGTCACCACCCCACAGGTACAGCGTTAGCTATTTAGCATTCTAGTCACCACCCCACAGGTAAAGCATTAGCTATTTAGCATTCTAGTCACCACCCCACAGGTACAGCATTACAAATGTAGCTATTTAGCATTCTAGTCACCACCCCACAGATACAGCATTAGCTATTCAGCATTCTAGTCACCACCCCACAGATACAGCATTAGCTATTTAGCATTCTAGTCACCACCCCACAGGTACACTGGTACAGCATTAGCTATTTAGCATTGTAATTACCACCCAGTAGGTAACAAATTACTGGTCGCCACAATATGGTAGAAATCACTGGTTACTACCATACAGGTACAGCATTAGCTATTAAGCATTATAGTCACCACCCAGTAAGCAAAAAATTACTGGTCACCACAATGCAGCTAGAAATCACCAGTTACTACCACAGGTAGAATTGTATTAAATCACCTACATGTAACAGGTAAAAAAATTCTGGTCATCGTAACAGTAAGTTTCCTACATTAATAAATTTGTTTAAATCTGGATTAAGGAGAATGGTGTCTTTGATCATATGATGCTTAATTTTGTTCGCTTTGTAGGCAGTTTCTGTGGGAGATGTGAAAAGGGAGATAACTTTCTGCAGGAAAACCCACATACCTGTCATAGGAATAATCGAGAACATGAGTGGATTTGTCTGTCCAAACTGTACTGTAAGTTGAGTTTGCTAAATAATGGAAGTAAACCGTATATACTCACCTATAAGTCAGATACAGTCAAACCTGTATTAAGCAGTTACCTGCGGGAACCATTAAAAGTGACCTTTATAGAGAGGTGACCTTTGAAAAGAGGTTAATCTTTTTTAAGAAAAATTCTTTTCTAATTTATGTAAGTTCTGTGTCTTAAAATACTACATCATAGAATATTAAAGAGAGATGTGTTTTGGACATCAATTGTCTCAGTTAGATTTTTTTTTCTAAATTTAAATAGTCTCAAGATTAAGTTCAAAATAAATTTGATGACTCCAACAAAAAATATATTGAGTCTAATAGGACATTGCATCATCCTCCCTCCAAACAACTACAAAACTTTCTTTTATTATAAGATTACATTATCATGTTGTGTCATGAATAAAATATAATGTATTTTCTATCTAAACTGCCTCTAAAAAACAAGTTTAGTTAGTCCTTATAGTTGTATGTTTAATGATACATAATAGTAGCATAATAAACAGACAAGTCATTATATTCTCAGTTTATCAAAGCAGTGCATAATACAAATGATATCAAATTCACAGGTGTTGTGAGCAATGAAGTGTGACTAATCCTAACGGTCGTCTTACCCAGTTGAAAATCACGAGATAATCAGGACACACATTCAGTATACAAAACAGTTAATTAGGGTTTCTACAAATAATACGTTTCCTATGTGTAAAAAACGGCCTGTCATGCGTTTACGCAATTACACCTATCGGAGTTGGGCATACCAAACATGAACTAATAATTAGGAAACACCTAATTATTGTATTCATTAATAGATGAATAAGGATGCCTTGTGTATCACTCAGTATTTTTTAAACCAGATTCCAATTCAGTAAGATTAAGATTCTCCTAAGTCCGTTTCCTGATAACCTTTTCGGTCACAAGCACCCTTGTTTAGTTTTGTTAAAAAAAAATAAATTATCCAATATTTTAAATGGTTTTAATAAGGCCAATTTTTTTTCCCATGATCTCGCTACACAAGACCAATTAATTACATTAGTGACAAAAATTGGCAGTCACCTGACTTGAGATCTGGTCACGTGATCGGACAAAATGGCCACTATATACGAGGTAAATCGGCGATTTTACATGAAATTTGATGACTGCTGACCGCGTTACGCAGGTGACCGCTCAATAGAGTTACATTATATAGGAAAATTCACTGGGAGGAAATAAAATGACCGCATAGGACAGGTGACCGCTGGATAAAGGTGACCGCTATGACAAGTTTGACTGTATTTGGGAGTTGTTTTTGGATTCAAAACTCTATGTCCAACTTACAAGTGAATTCTAGAAAATTGGATATTTTTTGGATATATAGTAATATTGTAACTACTCTAATGATAATTGTTTATTAAGGTTGGAACTTAATATAAATCAGGAAAGAAAGAAGTAAGATTACCTCATGCATATAACATCAATGCTTACAGATTTAAATGATCCTATTATTTGTTTAAACTCTTGATAAAGGATCAAATATGGATGTCTTGCCCCAAAATATACTTTGAAACTCAGGTAAATACAATAGAATATTAATCTGAAATTGGTTACAGATTCTGGCAAAAAACTGCACTGACTTACATGTATAAGCGAGTAAATACAAAAATCCTCCAAAATAAGCTGAAAAGATACAACCAACTTATAGGCAAGTATATATGGTATGTAAGTTGGTTAGGAAATGAGTATTGTTATGATTGTTTTCTTTTCCAGGAATGTACAAATGTGTTTTCAAAAGGGGGAGGACAAGCACTAGCGAAAGAATACCATGTGCCATTTTTGGGTAAGACATGTTACTGGTTTTGCTGAAAACTTTAATTTGAGATTTTAAAGAAAATCAAAATTTTGTATTTTCAAATTGAAGTCAAGTCTCAGTGTCTTTGCATTCATACTAATGTGACATATAATAGTATCATTAAGCATGCATAAAAAATGTCTTTAGAATTGAACTGTTGATATTTTTTGTCCTTGCTGTATATTTTTATGTATACAGTTTTATATGTACAATACTTCTTGAACTTTAAATTCTAAATATCAATATAGGTTGTATCCCTTTGGACCCTGAGCTCTCAAAATGTTCTGACGAAGGTAAAAGTTTCATCGAACACTATGAGGGATCTCCAACATTATATGCTATCCAAAAAGTGGTGGATCGATTAATTCAAATTGACAGAGACCTCCCTTGAACTAGGAACTGAAAAATTGCAGGACCCAGCCAACAGAAAAAAGTGCTCCATGAATAAATCATTCAGTGATTACTGCTGAATGACTTGGTGATATTATTATATATATACAGCTATATTATTCATCCTCGTCTTAACATCTGACATTGTTGACACACAGCAGTGTAAGAGCTCATTGAAATAATAACTTCATTTACATGAAATTTTTTTGTTCATTAGTGATTTGCAATTGAAAAGGAACTGCCAAAACATTTTGAAAATTATTTATATTTAATAAGCATTCAGTTTTTGAAATACAATGTATTGGATAAATGCTTTGCTTATCAGAGAAATATTTTGCATAGTTTTAGTACAGGTCATATTTTGTATTTTAAGTTTGAATAAATCCATGTCATTCCCCATCTCAGTAGTGCTAGCTCTTGTTTAACTTTTTTTTTTTTTGACAATATACTTGTATTGATATGTTTGTAACAGCTTTCAGTATATAAATAAATATGTATTTTAATCAATTTTTTAGTGCCATACTGTACTTATTATCCAGTCCCTGAAAGTACATTTTGTTAGCTATAATGTACATTCCATGTATTGTACTGAGCAAATTAGTTTTGTTAATTTAGTTTTGTTAACATTACATGTATTATAAACATTTTAGCTGCCTAAAAATAGAATTGAAACAAATAAAAACAAAAAGTACAATTATTTTGGCACTTCATTCTGATATTACATGTACATGTATTATTGTATAAAGCCTTACTTTGATAAGTTTTCGTTTTGCCCAATTTTGGTATAAAACAAATTCTATTATTAAAGAGAAGTACATGTATGTAGATATACATTTTTCCTTTGCAATTCTTTGAATGATTTTCAATTATTCAGAATAAACTGTACATATTCAGCAGTTTTCCTTATTTTGATCGAATAGAAAAATAGCCCAGAATGTGTCCTGTGTTTAAATGGGTGTATTGGTAAAAGCCAGAAATAAGGCAGGATTGTTGAATGGGAACTTCACACTTTTTAGTTTGCCTGTGCTTATGATAGAAAAGTCACTCATGCATTTCTTGGATCCTTGTCTACATTTGGAATAAAAGGTTATGTTACAGTTTTCCTTGGTTAGATTTGATGTATAGCCTACTATCTGTGTTTATAATTTTACCTTGGGATGTGACCAAAGAGATGGATTTTAGTGGATTTTAAACGACAGGGTCAGCGTTCAGAGGAAATTGTTTGTGACACAGTTCTCTTTCTAGTCACCGTAAAATTGTTGGACTCTTCAACTGGAGTTTAAGTACCCAATAAAATGACAAGATCAACATGAAGATGTTAAAATTTCAATGCTTGTTTTAATTCTAGTATATTGTTTGATTTTGCAGTGTAAAGATTGATGTGTAGAGATGAAATTTTTTATAGACAGTCATGCTCAGTAGCATATGAAAAGTCTAGTCAGTAGCATTATTTGATTTAATGTCAAGTGCAGTTGACTTAAATTGACTCTGAACACTGGTTAATTCTTAAATGTACCTGGGCATGTAGCCACACCTAAAAGAATTATGTATGAGAGGAATGAATTAATACCTACCTTCCATCCACAAATAAGAGGGTAGAGACATTACCTCATCTTGTAAATTGAAAAGTTGTGGCTCAGTTAATGCAAATCTTTGGATGTTGATTGATATTCAATTAAACATGTATTAGCTAAATTTCCAAAAATTTCCTTTATCCAATATTGAAAATATGTGGAAAACACACAAATAAAACAAAAAGCTGAAGAATGTACATTAAGTTCCATCAACTTTATTTCTTGATCATATCACAGCCTAAATCACAGTATCATTGATTGTCCTTTGTCATAACTCCAGGTTCTAGTTCATAAAAAGTTTAAGTTCATGTATTAGTAGAAGACAATTTCAAGAATCATATGGGAAAAAAATCAACCTATTGGAAATATGTAGTACATGTACATAGCAATTTTTTTTTGTTCACAAACAAATAAATCCATTAATGCATGCTGTTATTATTTAAAGTTTATGTAACTTTGAAAATGAAATTGAAAATTTTAAAAATTGTATTTGCAGCAAAATTTATCAATACACAAAATTTCCAACACATTGTCAAACTATAAACTTACTGCATAGATGTAGAACCCTGCATTATGTATGTCTTCCTGAGTACATAAACCCATGTTTTGGGAGTGTCTTTTTATGTTCATGTATTAAAATATAATTTATATCTTATTTAAACAGTGATAAAAATCTTTAAAATATTAAATATGCATAAAACTCTTTTTATAAACTTTACTTCATCTATTCTAAAATATAATTTCTTTCACATAAATTTACAGGTAATACTTTCTCCATTCAATGTGAATTTATCATTAACTGTTACGGAGTTAGATAAATCTCATCATATACATGTATATTGCATAAGAATGATGAAATACATTTATAAGAAATTGTCTTCAGCAAAACATTCAAACCCTGCTAAAACTGAGAAAAAAAGAGAATAACATTAAAAAAAAGAATTAAAATGGAATGTGAATAAAATGATATGCCTTATTGTAGATTGTGTAAAAATAATATGTATCTTTTCATTAAAAAATGTTCCTAAATTACTCGTCATGTGTATGAGTATTGCAGCAGAAACAGGCACATAAGCCATTACAGCAACCATTAGTGACCTCCCTTGGAGGAACCTGGGAGCGGGCAAAGTTAATAAAAACTTGTTCTAAGGTGGTCTGGCTAACTGAATAATCTTCTATATGGAATTCTGATTTGGCAATCTCTAAAATTCCAAAAATTGCCCCCAGAGTGAGGCCTGAATTTCTCGTTATATGGTAATTCACCATGCCTTGATGCATGTCTTTAAGTTCACTTCCTGGAAATTTACACTCTACAAAGTTCATGAATGGCTGAAGATTTGGGGCATCCCCTGATTCTGTGAATGCAATGCGAGCCAGTAAGGTGTATCCCTCCCCAAATTTGTTCTTCAGATACTGGGTGCTTCCCAAACATCGGAATTCTCCATTTACCATGATGGCTAACCTAGTGCACAAAGCCTCACATTCCTCCATACTGAAATCAGAATTATCACAGAATGGAGACATTTGAAACATTTGTAGAAGAAATATAAAGCAGATAGCAATCTTCAATATTAGTAACTTCTTTTACTTTATTAATGGACAAGACTAAAAATAAGACACTGCACATATGTAACATTTTCAGTCTTGCTTCTAAATGATAAAATGATTTAATTTTGTATATGATATGCCTTCGGATTTTTTAATTTAATTACCAGAAATTTAAATTTGATATGGTTTTAATCTTCATATTAGTATGTTTTCTCTTACCTGTGGGATGTAAGAACCAATGTTCTGCCAGAATCCCTGACTTTTATCAATGCATTCCACAGGTATCGCCTAGCAACAGGGTCCATGCCAGTTGTAGGTTCATCTAAAAATATCACCTGGGGATTTCCCACTAAGGCCAATGCAGTACTTAACTTCCTCTTGTTTCCTCCACTAAAGGTATAAAAATAAGCACAATGATGCAACTGTTGGACTTTTCCTTTAATCAGATGACAATTGAATTACTGGAAAACAATGTGTGCTATATATATTACATATAGATATGTTATATAAATTAAAGATTTGCACCTGTAAGCTTTGACCATTTTATCAGCATGTTCTTGGAACAGCAGGGCAGACATGAGTCCCTCCACAATGCCTGGTATCTTCTCCTCCCTGACCCCCCTAAGTCTGGCAAACATAAATAATGTCTCTCTTCCTGTCATTTGGTCAATTAGGGCATCATACTGTGGGCAGTAACCTAGGTTTTGTCGTACCTGTAAGAAGAGAAGTTGTATTTGACAGTATTTTTTGCTAGTTCAAAATGAAAGATACCTTCTACTGACACATATTCCCCCACCCCATGTTTCAAAATTGAGCAATACTGTTTTTTTTTCTTTAAACTTAACATATTATTTTCTTTTTGACACTGATAGGCATTCAAATGATAACAATGAGAATATATCAAAAAGAAAGAAAGCCATAATTAACTCAAATTTAAATCTATTTCACAAGATATGGTTTTATTTATGTCTTTTAAAGTTCTGTGATTAAGCCTACCATTGCAAGTTCAGACTTGACACTGTGACCATTAAGATAGGCTTCCCCTGAAGACATGATTTCATCACCAGTCAAAGTCTTAAATGTAGTAGTTTTCCCAGCTCCATTCACTCCTAAAAGACCGAAGCACTCCCCCTGTGGTATTCCTACACTGATATGATTGACAGCTATATGTCTTCCATAGGATTTAGTGACCTCTTTCAGGATCAAAGAATCTGTCAATAAATGTGACTTAGCCAGCCTCTCTCTCTCAGCTGCCACATCCGAATCTTCCTGAATCACTGAACTTCGAACATGTCTTGGTTGATGCGCTAAAAACCTTCGTTCTCCTTCCAGTAAAGGGGTCGTCTCAGAATATGAAATGTCCAAGCTTTCCTCAGCCTTGCTTGACTTGAGGGAGTAAATAATTGTCTTGAACAGATTTGATTCGACAAAGAGCAGAACTGTGAAGTACATCACTCCCTGTATCGACAAGAAAACTAACATTCGGCCGATTCCGTTCTTCTCCCATCCCAGGTACTCCTCATTATAGTACACACAACCTAGTTCTCCACACTGTCCATTTATTGCTGGAAAAAATACACAAAGTCATTTATATACATCTAAGAGAATTGAAAATTGAAAAAAAAATGACAACAGTGACTGACAAAATGTTTATTAACCCCTATTTCATACTCATTACTGGAGTTTTTATTCAAACCCTCTCATAGGAAAATTTAAATTGGGTTAATGTAAAAGAAATGTTCAATGAAAATGAGGAAACCACAGTTTCCTTGCATGTAGATGTGAAAAATTTTACTTCATTAAATTGTTGTCCCTTTCTAAACTTACGTCCACAACAAGGATTAGCAAGGTAAGGGCAGAGCAGTTTGAATTCTTTACAGCTATCCAGGAATTCCCAGTTAGAGTAGTAATCCATTAATCCTTGTCCCAGACAGAAGTTTGGGAGGAAAACTAAAAATATCCACTCCAGGATGTTAGATAAATCCTTTAGCCCCAGCTGGGGGATTCCCAAGATCCCTACAGCTAGCACTGTGGCATCACCTGTAAAAGATCAGATTTACTCACAGTTAAATGCAATATTACATCCTACAATATCCTAAAGTTAATTAATGATAGTAAATTATTCTGACATATGTAATTATCCACATTTAGATTCAAGTAAATTATTAATACATGTACATATGAGAAAATATGAATCTATCATTTTTTATTCTCCTTTCTACAACTTGTCAATGAAATTACATGAAATTATTTCAATCTTCCAGGATACCTTATTCAAGATGCATGTGTGAACTTACCAGCCAAAATATTGAACATGGTCAGCCAGACAAAACCACTAGATGGCACAGTAAAAATGAAAGACAAAAGGTACATAAAAGGCAGCATGGCCCAGCCATGCAAGAACAGCAGCAGCAGTATGTGTGCAGCATGAGCATCAATGTAGTATGCTTTAATTCCAAAAGCCCAGAGTACAAACAGCAGTATGCAGCATGGAATCATGTAATTGATCATATCCCAGCAGAAGGTGGAGGCCCAGAATGTAAAAGGCTGAACTCCACTGACAAACTGAATGTGTTTGGCCTTGGTTGCTCTCTCCTTGATGAGGAACAAAACAAAACTGCTGGACAGAAATGCCATTCCGAAAACAAAATTAAAGGCAATGGTGAACCCTGTTGTACTCCCCTCAGTTTCTTCTCGGATTTTTTGTTCCTCTGTCCTGGGCAGAGGGTGATTTACAGTGGTCAAGGTAAACTGGGAGTTGTTGGTTACATACTGTAGCAGTGCATTAGCTAGGGTTGCTAGGGAAATAGCTGGAGCATGATAACCCTGGTTGTTAAAGTAGGCAATGGCCGACAATGAACTCTGCTTTTTGGTAAAATCTGCTCCCACAGCATACTCCAGATTATATAGTCCAAGGCTGTCCATTCCTTTCTGGAACAAATAATTATTTATATCTGAATTGTTTACATTTCCTTCTT